AGGGACTTCACTTTTCGAACAAGGAGGGTGGGCGAGGTAGGACGACGGATGGTGGAGCAGGGAGGCAAAGAGGAACGAGGAATAATGAGGGAGGTGGGAAGGGGCTCTCCCCCGCCCGAGCCGCGGACGCTTTCGACACCATCCAGGGGAGGGAGGAAAGGAAGGGGAACGGAGCAAGGGCGAGGACGACGACGGGAAGCAAAGTGTCCTGGGTCCGCATATAGCCATATGTCTGCGATTCGGGTGCGTGCGCTTTCTTCGAAGCACTTCAAGCCGGACCCATGCTGAATTCACTAATTCCTCAAAGCTGTGTAAACACTCTGTCCTCTGTTCCCTCTCCTATACAACGGCCTCATAACAGAGGGGCAGTGGATTCCAAACGAAATGACGAAGCGGTTGATACAACCGCAATGCGCGCCAACTGCCCGTGAACAGCCTCAGCGCCAGCACCGTCGAACTTGGCGCACTCGAGCGCCTTGAGCTCGGCATCCAGTCGAGGGGACAGGCCGCGGCCCTCGCAGTGGTCGATGAAGTCGGCGCTCAGGTCGCCCTCGCACCAACGAACGGCCACTCGGTGATACTGAAGACCTCGCCCCACGCCCGCACGATACATATCAAGAAGAGTCCTTGCGACTGCTGGGTCCCGAGCTTCCCAGAAACGATACGGCAAGTGATCGATGAACTTAAACTTGTGCTTGGCAAGGCCCAAGAGGTGGCTGTATGCCGCATGCGTTGCTCGGTATATCTCTCCTGTCGGGTCATCGTCGGAGTTCGTGCGGAGCGCGATCTGGTTATTTCGCCATCTGTCGAGGGCATCGTGAAGCCTCGCGCGAATCTGAGGGCCTCTGCAAGACTTGAGCTGGTTGGGGCACTGGAAATGCTTGCCCTTCTTCGCGAAGCTTATGCACTCCTCCTCGTGACAAGGGCAGCCCCGCATCCAACGCCTCTCAACGTCGATGTCGTCGCCGAGGTCGGCGACGACTCTGACCTTGGCCCAGAAGGCATTGTCCTTCGCAATGGCATCAACCCTCCTCGCGTCGGGTCCCTGGGTAGGCATCCGATGTAAGCCCCAGCTGAGGTGGCAGCCAGTGGCCATGCACTGGAGGTCTTTCGCCGCAAATGCCACAGTTCCCCATCGAAGCTTAAAGCACGACCGAGGGGCCTTGGAAAAGTTCCCCGCCTCTGCGGGGAGGAGGTCCTTCACCACGTTGAGTAATATTCCGCGATGTCCGTCGTCGCGGAGGAAGCCAATGATATGATTCAAATCGAAACGCCTCCCACCACTCCATCCCTTTGAACGCTGTTCTGAAGATGAGGTCCCACGCGCGATTTCCCTCCGGTAGCCAGAACGCGTTCGGGAACAAGAAGCTATCTGGGATGCCCGCGCTGGTCTCATAAGCCTGGCCCTTGAGGAACGCCTCAGTGAAATCCTTGAAATCTATGATGTGGCTCTCAGTGCCACTATCTGGGGAGACGACGGGAACGGGCTCGCACCAATGCCTGATCCAGATGTCCCTGAAACCACTCTCCAAAGCGATGCTGCGAAGAACGGCGACGGCCTTGTCCGATGCTGAGAAATGGCCCACGCCCAAGGTACACACATGCAGAGTGCGAAACTGAGCGTTGGCAACGTCGCCATGCCGATGACAAAACTCACGCACAGAAAACAACTCGATACCTCTCTGAGGGCTCGCATCGCACCATAATTGTCGCATCCACCCTCCCTCTCTGTTCAAAGCCTGGCGTAACAACACCATTGCACAGTCCAATCTGATCCGTGACCTCACCGACGTGCGTTCCGATGGAGACGCGAAATCTTTGGCGACGATCTGGTCCATCAGCTGGTCTGCATCACCGGGCACGGCAAACTCTAAGCACTTCCTCACATGGTCTGTCATCGAGCTCAATTTTTTAAAGCAGATGAAACTTTCAACGATCGGATGAGGTGTGCTGGAGTGAATCTCTTCCCTCGCATTGAGCCCGCATTCCCATCGCCGTGACGAACGTGCAATGCATCGGCAGGTGGAGCCACATCGACATGGCGTGCTGGACGTGGAGGGGCCCGCTGCTGCAACAAATGCCTCCTGACGCCGGCCTCTGGCAAGCAAGTGGGGCAGAAAACATTGCGAGCACGTTCTCGATACACCAGTTGATATATATCGAACCCTAAAAATCCCCGAGCCTGCATGATCGCAATGCACGGGTGTACGCACCATTTTTGAGCAAGCCCGCGAAAGCCGTCGAACTCATATATCGCCCTCCATCTCGCAAACAGGTCGCCCAGACTCACGCCACGTGGATCTTCGAATGCCGTCGCATGTGGAACACTATCATGGACGACAACATTTACACGAATACCGTTATCCACCCACTCATCGAAGTGGGTCGCGAACTCCCCCGAACCCAGTCTGGCAAGATCTCTCGGCACAACGACGGGGCCATCAATATACGCGCTAGCTTGAAACGGCACATCCTGAAACCCAAACTTTGTAGTCCTTCTGTCCCTGTCGTTGCTGAGATGCGTCATGAAATGGGATTGCATGTCGTGATCGTACTCGGTGTTGATCTCTGACGCGCTATCTTCATGTTGCAACAAACGGTATGCCTTGACCACTCCAAACCCGTATAAATGAATATCATCTGACTCAGCAGCTGGAACATGAATTGAAAATCGATCCATCACCTCGAAACCTAATATGCCAACAGATGTGGTCGCCAATCCGCGCCTGCCCAATCGGAAACAATCAGACCACCGTCCGTGGCGAGAGCCGAGAATCGCTATCAACACGTCGGGGCCCACGGAACTGTCGGATCGGGCTCTCTTGGCACGTCGGCGCCGTGGGGCATGAGACTCTGCGCCAGGCTGTCCGTGAGAACTCTGCGAAAATGCGCCCACGACGATAATTTCATCGCCCATCCATCACACGGAACGGCACAACAACAAAACTACAATAGAACGGGAGAGTGCGTTCACTCAATGGGTCGAGCCAACAGGACTAGTCTGTGCCCCCATTCCAACACAAGAACGGTGTTCCACGCAAAATGCAACGAGACCTCGACTGGGATGGCAAACGGGCAGACAGGATTCCGACTTGCCATGATGGGCCGAGTGGGGCACGATCCATCGCGAGGGGTGGCACGCGGAAGCGACTTAAGGGAGGTCTCAGTGGGAACATGCTGGGGGGCACCTGCGGGATCATGGGATCAAGCCTGAGGTCTCGCACCAAACTCCCCGAGCCCAACTCGCCGACGTTTGCCAAGACCTCCCTCGATACGGCTCGTAGATAAACATATGTGCTAGTCGTCCTATTCCTGCCTACCACGCACCACCATTACTGACATGTGCTCGACCTCGCTCCTCTCAATATCCTTCCCCCTTCCTCGCCCTCCCTTTTCCCCCACCAGAAATAACAACTATGAAATCGGTGCCACCGCAATGGGCGACTGGGGAGGCGTGAAGTGCCATGGGCACCCGCCACGTCAGCGTGGTCCTATACCCGATGACTCAAGGCCGAGCCTTGCACCAACAACCTTGAGGCAACGCCAATGCAAGCCGTTCCACTCGCCCATCCCCGAAAAAATCAGCCCAGGCTTAAACGAGACCTTGACGCAACTCCGCCGATCCTCACCCCTGAGGGTCTCTCGGTCTAACTTTTGTTTGGGCCACCCAACATGCACATTTCGCCTCGGGACTCCCCCGCTACGCCTGGCCCTGACACCACGCCTGACACTGCAAGCCTACGAAGGGTCTCTTGCCAAAGGTTTCTGGGGCCACCCACCATACAAAAATCGTCCCAGGACACCCCCACCACGCCTGGCACCACGCATGGCACCACGCCTGGCACCACGCCTGACACCACGCCTGACACCGCCAGCCCCACGAGGTTCTCTGGCCGCCTGGCACCACGCCTGACACCACGCCTGACCCGGCCAGTCTCTTGAGGGTCTTTAACCATGGATTTCTGGGGCCACCCACCATGCACAAATCTTTCCAAGACCCCTCCCCTCCACCAGGCCCGGCAACACGCCTGACACCACGACTGCCATCGCCAGCCTCCGCAGGGTCTCTGGCCACAGGTTTCTGGGGCCACCCACCATGCAAGAATCATCCCGGGGCCCGGGACCCATGCACCCCGCCTTGCAGCACGCCTGACACCACGCCTGACACCGCCAGCTTTCTGAGGGTCTCTGGCCGTGGGTTTCTGGGGCCACCCACCATGCAAAAATTGCCCCGTGACTTCCCACCACCACCACGCCTGGCACCACGCCTGACACCACAACAGAAACCGCCAGCGCCCAGAGGGTCTCTGGCCGTGCGATTCTGGGGCCACCCACCCTTCACAAATCGTCCCAGGACCCCCCCACCACGCCTCGCACCACGCCTGACACCACGTCTGACACCGCCAGCCTCCTCAAGGCCTCTGGCTATGGGTTCCTGGGGCCATCCGCTACATATGCAAAGATCGTCCCGGGACCCCCCCCCCCCACACTACGCCTCGTACCACGCCGAACATTACGCCTAACATAGCATAATTAATCGGCACCACGACCCGCCGCACAAACAACATTCACGCCCGCACGCTGCACGTCACTCTGGAAACGTACGCATCATTCTCGAAGCAAGTGGTACAACAGAGAACGCACAATGAGGAAGAACGCGCCTAAGAGGAGCACGGAACAACTGAGGCATTACCCCTCCCCCCCATGTCATACGCACACGATGCCGCTAGCATCCACCACGCCCACCAACGCGGAAACGCGAGAATAGCCCGTGGCGACATAAGCACCACGCAAACGTGTTGTGGTGAGCGAAAATTCCCACCGCACGACGTCAAGCATTCAGAGGCGCTGGACAGAAGCACGACGACGCAAGCACCGCACAACCGCGATCGCCCGCACAAAACCAACGCGATGGCGGGCGCACTGCGCACGATGGACCAACCACACACAGCAAACTAACCTACACTGCCTTTGCTGGGGTCGGCAGCAGAGGCGGTAGCCTTTAAGATAAGTTCCGTTTGTGAAGTTCTCCTTCACCGTGGCTGGGAACCACACGCCATTCGAGTGGAGCGCCTCCACACGGTCGCCGACTCCGTAGCCCTCCAGGCACGCCAGCAAGCGCTTCAACCTGGACACCTTCAACGCGTGCTCCGAGGCCGGCTCTTTGTTCAGGGTCCTCTTCAGAATCTCGGCCAAGGTCCAGTTGTTTTCTCCAATCTGATGCGGCGCACCACTGAGGTCGTCGGTCTTCACCACCTCGATCAAGCTCTCCTGGCTGTGGGCCTTCGTGGCCTCGACCCCGAAAGCGTGGTCGCAGGAAACGGGGGCGGTGCCCATGGAGCGGCCAGCCCCCTGGCCGCTAGCCGCGGAGAGCTGCAGGCGGCGGTGCCCCACCGCGACGGCCACTGTCCCCGCTCTGCCGCCGACCTGCACGCTGACGGCCTCGGCGCGGTCGGCCTGGAGCTTGGAGAACTGGGGCGCGGACCTCTCCGCGAGGGCGGACGGGCGCCAGGCCGCCAGCAGCGCCAGCGGAAGCCGCATGACCTGCGGCCCTTCTTTGTGGATGCATGAACGAGGGCGCCCTGCGGGGCCCAAACATCTCGAGCCTTGAGCAAGCGGCGCGCCAAGGAGGGTGTCGACGAGGAGGCAAGGGGGGCTCCGTAGGAAGGCTCGGAGGCCGAAGGCTTCGCAGAAGGCGGGGGCGGAGCGGCGCTGGCACCGGGGCACTTTGGTGCCCCGCGGGCAGGGCGCCGACGGCCGCAACCTCAGATCACCTGGGCGTAGCACGCCTGGGTGATGTAGGGTGGTCTAGCAGGCGCACTGGCACGAATGGAACCTGCGGGCGCAACACTGCACGCACCGGCACACTTGGAGCGCGCGTGTGTCGCGGGAAGCGGGAGGGCCCCTCGGAGGGCCTGCGAGGCGCCCGAGCGCCCACGCCTCTTCCCGAGGCCGCCCTCCGCGCGCCGCCCACGGCCGGCCCGCGGGCCCCCCCTACCGGAGACCACCACGAGTTCCGCGGGCCGCTTCCGGCCGTGGCCACGAGGGCACCCCAGGAAGCAAAACAAGAACGTCAAGACCTGGTAGGGCTCGCCGAAGGCAGCGCAGTCCTGCACGACGGGGGCTGGGGCCAGGGGACCTGGACCAGGGCCAAGGGAGGGTCTGGGGCGAGGGCCAGAGGTGGGGAGGGGGGGGACCAGGGCCAAGGTGGAGTCCGGGGCCAGGGCCAGAGGGGGGCCAGGACCTGGGCCAGGAGCCAGAGGGGGGCTGGGGCCAGGGCCAAGGGGAAGGGCTGGGGCCAGGGCCAGGGGAAGGTCCGGGCCGAGGGCCAGAGGGGGACTGGGACCAGGACCAGGGTGAAGGACTGGGACCAGGGCCAGGGCAAGAGAAGGGTCTAGGACTGGGCCAGGGCTGAACGACGACGACCACGACGAAAATAAACAGGTCCGAGCTCTAGAACGCAGCTGTGCAAACTAATCCTACTGTTGTTTTGAATTGTGAGGCCCCAGAGCATTTCTAACAAAAAACAAAAAATACGAGTTGTGTTTTTGATCGGAAATGTTTCCTCCTGGAGCCTGGGCTGGCCGGAGAAAATGCGAAAACCGATCAAACAGCCAGAGTTGTTTTTGTTGGTCCTCGGGGGGCTTTCCGACATACTTATGTTTTTAAGTGTGGGGCCCCGGACTTTCCCGGAAACCTCCCGCAAACTGTCGAAGTATTCGTCTTTTTCTGGTGTTCCCCCTGGCCGGAGAACCCTTGAAAAACCTGTAAAAAACAGAGTTGGCGCTTTGTCATGGATTGGTTGGGGTCAGACATAAGTCTTGCGCTTAATCGTGGAGCCTCGGACCCCACACTGAAAAAGAAAACGAAACACACCCAGAAAGTTTGTATCATGGGCCTTTCTCCCTGGAGCCTGTGCTTACCAGTGAACCCCTGAAACAAAATTGGTTTAACAACGAAAAACGAAATCAGGGTTGTCGGGTGTTTTTCAATAGTACTGTTTTTCGTTGAGGGGCCCCCGAGCCCCTCGAAAAACACTCGAAAGCACCCCGAGTTGGGAGGTTTTTCTGTGGATCTCCCACCTGTAGCCCAAGCTGGCTGGAGAAACATGACAACCACATGGAAAAAACTGAATTGGGGGGGGTTCTCGGTGGTTTCTCCGGAACGGTGTTTTTGGATGGTTTTCAGAACTAGCATTATGTTTTGTCAGCCCCCGGTACCCCTCGAAAGACAATTGAAAAACCTCTGAGTTGGGAAGCTTTTCTGTGGTTTCCCCCCTGGAGCCTGGGCTGGCCGGAGAACCACCAACACCCCCCTGAAAAACTTGTTTCTTTGGGGGGGATGGGGGGTTCGGGATGGTTGTGGAGGGATTTTCAAACATAGTTTTGTTTTGAATTGTGGAATCCTGGAGCCCATTGAAAAACACCAGAAGAACCCCCGAGTTGTTGTTTTTCAAATGTGTTCCCCTGCAGCCTGGGCTGGCCGAAGAAATCCCGAAAGACATGTAAAAACACGAGTTGTTTGTTTTGCTTCTGATGTTTTTCGGCGAAGGGTCGGGCGTGTCATCCAATAAAGATGTTTTTAACTGTGGGAGCCCAGACCCCTCCAAAAAACTACCGGAAACTGCAGGGTTGGGTTTGTTCACATGGTTATCCCCCTTGGAGCATGGGCTGGCAGGAGAAACCTTGAACATCCGCAGTTTCAGAAATAGTACCCTGGAACAGCCCGAAAAACCAGCGAAAACTCCCTGATTAAACAAGTTGTTCTGGTGTTCCCCCCTCAGACAAATCACCCGAGTTGGGCGTTTTGTTACAAGTGGCTTTCGGTGAGTTGTTGTAGAGGGGTGGAAACTGTTTTTAGTGTGGGACCCGGGAACCCGGGAAAACCTTTCAAAAAAACATCCGAATTGATGGTTGTTTCCCTTGAGCCTGGGCTGGCCAGAGAAATTTTGAAAAAAACACAGAAGGATTCGATCCCCTCGAAAAACTACAGATACCTTCGGAAAACAACAGAAAAAAACCCGATATGGGTTATTTGTGTCAGCTCTCCCTCCTTGTTCGGTAGCAACGTGGTCGGATGAAAGAAGAGGACGAAGACAAATGCATCATGACGGGCACAAAGGGGAGGATGAGGAGCATGAGGAGGAGGTTGAGGAGGAGCGAGATTAACCCATGTTCGCAAATATACAAAAGCAAGACGAGAAGCACAACGAGAGTGGGGCAGTAGGTTTGAGGCGCGGGATGAGGAGAAGGATGAGGCTCGTGGACGCGACGCCGATCACGCAATGGTTCGCTTCTAGCTTGCGGGGCATGCGTTTCTCTCGGATCGATCACAAAGGCGTCGACGACCCCCTTCCCTCACGGAGGGGGTTAGCAACCCAGGTAAAATGACCCCTTCCGCCACGGAGGGGTTGAATAGTTCGCTTATTTAAGCTCAAGGATTAACGAACCCCTCAGGCTCCAAGATCCCCCCAAGAGGCCCGAAGAAACCGCCAAGAGACGCCTCATGATACCTCCTGCGAGGCCCTGATAGCGTAATTAGGAGGCGAAGTGCACTGAAAAGTTGGCGGAACATCACAAAACGCTTTGCCACCGAATCACTGTGTCTTAAAGATCGCGTCGGAACGCCTCAGAGAGCCACAAGACGCCTCAAAGACGGGCCAAAGTCGGCTCCAAGAGCGCCCACATAAAGCTCCCACATTGTCCGAGAAGCCCCAAAGAAGCCTCCAAGAGGGCCCCCAGAGGCCCCAAAGAAGCTCGCACGAAGCCTGGAATATGCCCCCAATGGAGAGAATGGGGAGGAGGATGTTTGTGCTCCTCCGTGGGGCGCCGATCATGCCAGCTACGGGGGTGCACTACGCACTGGACTCACTCCCATGAGTGAGGAAACCAAGATCCTGGAGAGCCCAGCTCTCGAGGACGACCTCCTTCCTTCCCGTTCTGGGGTGGAGGCCCCGCTCGATACGGCTCCGCCGTTCCTTGCCCATTTTGTCCAGGACAAAACCAGGCCGTCTGGCAGGGCACGTCTTGGCCAAGCCGACGGGATGCTGCTGCGCATACTGTGCGCATTGGGCACAGTACAGCATAAAGTCACCCTGATCGGGTGGGCGGCCCCTGGGGCCAATCACCACCCCCCACAAAACATGTTAGCCCGCGAATTCACGCAGGCCCCTCCAGCTCTTGGGCGCCTCGCGCCCACATTCTGAGGCCATGCCAGCCTTCCAGCTCCGAAAGCCGTGCAAGCACTGAACGCACCGCCAGCGGCCATCGGCCACCTCGCGCAGCTCGTGCTGCAGAAAACACGGCCTCACGGCCATCGGTGGCCGAACGCGCGGGGGCAGGTGAGACCACTCCGTCTTGGGAGCAGGCCCACACGCCAGCACCCGCCCCAGATTCACCAGTCCACGCCGCGCCTCTGCGCAGGCGTCTTCCAGAGTGGCCTCGTCTTGGGCCCGCCTGGGCCAAAGGTTGAGAGCTTCCTTGGCCGCTTCGTCGGCCCACGAGTTGAGGACGATCCGCCACTCACCCTCAGTCTGAGGGGCGGCCGGCACGTCCTGGTGTGACTTTACCTTCACCCCCGACCTGTACGCGAGGTCGCCGCGTCGAACGCGGCGCCAGTGCCCAGCACCACGCCAAGCTGGGCTAGAGGTGCACGCGCGCCCGCGCGCTCGAGCGGCCAACACCGCTGCATTGTCGCCAACATACGGCTGGCTACCATCGGCATACTCGGCCGCTCTGCAGCATGCTTGCAGCTCGGCAGCGTGAGCGGAGGTAGGGAGCTGACAGGAGAGGGAGCCAACGAGCTTGCGAACGATCCCGTCCCTCCCCCGCTGCACCACCGCCCATCCCCCACGACGGAGCTCCTCGAGGGCACTGGTGGAGGCAGACCCGTCACCCGCGAGAGGCTGGTGAGGCTCAAATTCAATATCATCCAGTGGCACGGGCTCGTCTCCTACGAAAGCTCGCACGATCATCTTCGCTGGCGCCGCGGGCAAGGCCACCGAGGGCCTGACGGGCACCGAAGGCACCCTGGGACAGAAAGGGCCGATGTTATCTTCGCTCCCCTGTTCACTTTGCTGGCGGCGGGGTGGAGGAGGGGTCGCTTTCTCATGGCCCTCAGCAAGAGCCGCACACAGTCCGAGGCGGTGCGCCAAGTCATCACGCACCCCGCAGTGCCTGCAGGTGCCCGCGCTCTCGTCGTAGCCCCACTCGACCATCTTGGCGCCCGTGAGGTAGGTGCCCCCCGCGACGGAGGCGATGGCCCACTTCTCGAGCGGGGTGAGGTGCTTGCTGCCAAGGGTAGCCGCGATCACCTCCCACCAGACCTCAGGCAGGGCCTCCTCGTCCAGGTTCTCTCGGCGCCTCACGCTGTCCGTGGCGCGCTCACGGACCCTGTCCAGCACGTCGCGCAAGTAGAAGTACTCCATCCTCTTGGGGGCGTGCTCGAGGGCCGAAAGGCGGCCAAACCGTGGAGACACGAAGACCG